GGCTTTTGTGGAAGATAACTTTTCCAAGGTGAAAATGAGGGAGGGATGGTTTGGGGCTGATTTAAAGGAGCCTGCACAACCCTCAGTCCCACACACATGCAGTTCATAGTAGGGGTTTTACTCCCATGAGAATCGAATGCTGCTACTGATCTGACAGGATGCGGAGCTCAGGCCATGACGAGAGAACTGGGGAGCAGCTGTAAATACAGATGAACCTTTGCTCGCAGCTGGCCTCCTACTGTGCCCTGATTTCTAATAGGCTGTGGACGGTACTGCTGTGTGGCTCCAGGGTTGAGGACTCTCTCTATTAAATGATAACTCATCTCTTCTCTAGGCTCCTGACAATTCATTCTAATTTCTGTCTCTGAATTTGTGATTTTAGACCCTTCGTGAAAGTAGAATCATAATACTTTACTTGTCTTCTAGTGTCTGGCTTATTTCCTTAGGCATGTTTTCAGGTTCACTTTAAGCTAGGGGTGTAGTTCGGTGGTATAACACATGCTTAGCATGCACAAAATCCTGTGTTCAATTCCCAGCACCAAAAATAAAAAGTTAATCTGAATAATACCAGAATTCCCTTTCTTGCTGGGTGTAGTAGTGCACGGCTGTAATCCCAGGACTTGGGAGGCTGAGGCAGGAGGATCATCCTGAGTTTGAGGCCAACCTGGGCTACATAAGTGAGTTCAAGGCCAGCCTGAGCTACAGAGCAAGACCCTGTCTCAAAAGGAAAAAAAGGAAAAAAAGAATTGCATTTCTTTTTAGGACCGAGTAATATTGGATGGTGAGTACATACCACATTTCATTTACGTGATAGTTCCTCAAGGGACATTTGAGATGTTCTTGCCTTTAGGTACTGTGAATAATGCTGCCATGAACACTGGTGTACGGACATCTGTTTGGATCTGTTTTCAGTTCTTTTGGGTGTATAGCCTTTGGTGCATAGCCTTTGGGTGTATAGCCTTTGGGTGTATAGACCAATGGAATTGATCATATGGCAGGTCTACATTTAAACTTTGAGGAACTACTACAGTACTCTTTGGGAGCTGCATCATTTTACATTTCCAATAAAATTACTTCACATCCCTCCCAAAACGTTATTTTCTGTTCTTTGGATTATCAGCCATCTGAGGGGGTGTGGTATATAATATCTTACTGTGATTTTGAGTTGCCTTAGTCCCTAATGACTAGTGATGTTATCTTTTCATGTGCTTATTGACAAGGAAGTCAAGTCCATGACTCATTTTTAAGTTCAGTTATTTCGTTATTGTAAGAGTTCTTACAAATATAGTATTTGCAAATATTTTCTTCCACTCTCTCTGTAGGTTGTAAGTCTTCACTCCTAATTGTCCTTTGATATACAAAAGTTTCTGATTTTGATGAAGTACAATTTATGTATTTTTTTTGTTACCTGTACTTTTGGCATCTATCTATGGAATTATTGCGAAATCCAATGTTATGAAGCATTTCTCCACTGTTTCTTCTGAGTTTTAAATTTTGCTCATTGATCTACTTTGGGTTAATTTTTGCACAGAGTGTATGATAAAGGTCCATCCATTTACATGTATATGCAGTTTTTTCCAGCAACACTTTTTAAAACTTTTTCCCAATAGAACAGTCTTTGCATTCTTGTTGAAAATTAGTTGACCATATATTATATGTGAGAATTTATTTCTGGGTTTAGAATTCTATATCATTTTTCTATATGTCCTTCCTTATAGCAGTACTATATTGTTCAAATTATGGAAGCTTTGAGGTTGGTATGAGTCCTTAAATTTTTTTGTCTTCAACATTATTTTGAAGGGCCGGGCGTGGTGGCACACACCTGTAATACCAGCACTCGGGAAGCTGAGGCAGGAGGATCACTGTGAGTTCAAAACCAGCCTGGGCTACAAAGTGAGCTCAAGGCCAGCCTGAACTGCAGAGCGAGACCCTGTCTCAAAAAGAGAAAAAAACAAAACAAAACCAAAAAACATTGTTTTGACTATTTGAGACCTCTTCCTATTCCATATCTGTTGGATTTTCCATTCCTGCAAAAAAAAAAAAATTGTTGTTGGAATTTTGACAGGGATTAATTAAATGTGTAGCTCTTTGGGAAGTATTGACATCTTAATAATACTAAATCTTCCATTCATGAACATGGGATATCTTTCCATTTTAAGGTATTTAAAATTTCTTTCAGCAATATTTTTTAGTTTTTCAATATACAAGTTTTTTTTAACCTCCTTAGATTAATTAAAAGAATTAAATACTTTTTAGATATTGTAAATGGAGTTACATACTCAATTTTGTTTTTGGAGTGTTCACTGCTGGTGTATAAAAACAATGATTTTTGTGTTTTGTTATTACAATCTACAACTTTGCAGAATTCATTCATTCATTTATTCATTTCTTTGGGATTCACCATACATAAGATCATGTCATCTGCAAAGATAGTTGTACCTCTTCCTAATCTGGGTGCATTTTACTTCATCCAATTGTGCAACAGCTCACTATAACTTCTACAACAGTTCTGAGTAGCAGTGATATACAAGGGTGATCTTGTTTTGTTCCCATTTTCAGGGGGGAAACTTTCAGCCATCCAGCATTAAGTATGATAGCAGCTGTGGGCTTTTCATATACACTGTCTATCACATTGGGAAATTTTCCCTTTATTTCTTTTCTTATACCATTTTTTGCCTTGAAAGTGTTGCATTTAATCACGTTTTTTGTCAGTTTCATAGCCGTGTATCTTTCCTATGCCACGTTTCTTCCATTAGTGACATAGCACATTGATTTTATGTTGAACCACCCCTAAATTCCTAGGATAAAACTCACTGGGTCATCACACATGTAAATAATCCTTTCAATATGTTGCTAGATCCAATTTGCCAATATCTTGTCAATAATTTTGGCATATATATATTAATTCATCAGTACTTTTGGCTTATGATTTTCCTTTCTTGTAATATCCTTATCTATCTGATATCAGGGTAATGCTGACCTCATAGAATCAGTTAGGAACCATTTGCTTCTTTTCAGTTTTTTGAAAGAGCTTGAGAAGAGTGATGCTACTTCATTTGGTAGAATTTGCCTTTACACAGTCTGGTCTGCAACTTTTGTCAGGACTATGACTTTTCTTTGTTAGGAGGGAAAGTCGTACTTTTAAGGGAAGAAAGGCATTTTTAAGGAAGGGAAGGCATTACCTTAAGAGGGTCAAGGTCCTCAAAAGGGAATTTCCCCAGGGACCTCCATTTATATACCTAGTTCAAGCTTAAGCTTCACTCAGAAGATCTGTTTATTTTTTTTTTTTTGGTTTTGTTTTTTTCCGGTACCGGGAATCGAACTCACGACCGTGGGCTTGCCAGGCAGGCACTGTGCTGCTGAGCTAAATTCCCAGCCCCAGATCTGTTTAAGTTAGTTATTTCAAACCTAGAAGGGTAAAGATATACAGTATCCTCCAGCAAGGGCAGAACTCTTATCATTCATAAAGTAGCACCAGTATTATTTTCAAGGTTGACAGTGTCATTAGAGTCACTCCAAGGGGGAGACTCTTCTCTGACAGTATTAAAAGTAAGCAGTTGTTCGGAATTGGAGTCGTTATGTATCTGCATGCTATGTGGATGATATGCTATAGTTCACAGATTGGGCCCAAAGTATGAAGTGTTAGTAAACAAGCTTTACTTGTATTTGGAAATTCTTAGGTCTGTTTAGATACCACAGATTTTATCACTCTGTATGGAAGCTGGAGGTAAATACAGACGTTAAGATGGTTGGCCCCGGAACCTGTTTGGGAAAACGTGCATAGTTACTCTGATTACTTAGGCAGATTAGATAAACTCAGGAGCTAAAATTCCTAGTTTTGAAGGCATTTCCAGACTCCCTGTCTTCCCTTACCTTGATCCAAAGCTGCCCCACCCTTTTTTTTCCTTCCTGGATACTTGCCTCATTAGTACGTCTAAGCGTACTTAACTAGGAAAACCAGAAGAGACCAAGTGAAACCCCGTGCTTTGACTTTTCTACAGGCTTGGGATATGTTGGGTACAGAATTTGAAGAAACAGTGCTGGGAAGACATCACTGACAGAAAACCAAAGATTACGAGCACCTACATCACCTTTTACCTCATGGCAGGGTTGGGGAGGGTGTGATTTCTAGGCCTCCCTATTAATCTTGTTGCTCCTTTCATCTTTGGGTATGGAAACTTTCTTCACAGTCTTAGATTGGCCACCCAAATCTGTGGTCTTACACTGCTCATTTCTCTGATATCCTCCAATACAGCTTCAATCCATTTTCTTTCAACTTTTCTTCCTTTAGTGAATTTGTTAGGGTAAGACTCTGCTTCCCTTGAGGCAGGAATCTTTTGATTCCATACATCGTTCTGCTGGGTGGTCATGTATGGATATCAGAATTTAAAACAGCTAACTTTGTTTATAAAATTGGGTTGCATCTTTAAATTACTATAGTCATCATGAAATAGAAGGAAATAACAGTCCTTTATATATATATATGATCTCACTTCATTTTTTCAGTGATGCTGCAAAGAAATCTTGTCCCTATTTTATAGATGAGGCTCAAAAAGGGAAAATGGCCTGGCTGGAATTTAAACCAGTTTTGTTGATGTTGAATATCTCCTGTCTTTTCCCAATATTACCTGCCCCAGATTTATACTAGGAAAATTCAGGCCTGAATCAAATTTATTTATATCCTTAACTCCTTTACTCTTTCAACACCATAAAAATCAAACTTAATGGTAACCCAAGGATACAGTTACCAAAGATGTGCTACTGACAAGCTAGAAAAATGTATGAGAAGTGATTGGGACCCAAGATCAAGTATGTTTGACATCAATCCTCTAAATTAGGTTGTACCATAGAGCAGAAGTTCTCAAACTTTTTTGACTAATGGCACTTCTCAGGCAAAGAAACAGCTAACCATTCTGTTTATTATGTATAGGTCCTAACAATTTAATAAGTATTTGTGTCCTAATATAAAAATTTTTTTTTTAAAAAAAAGTACATGTATCTCGGAAGAAAACATGTTTTATTTCACATTAAAATGACCACAGTCAATAACGGCATGTGTACATCTGCAGGGCACCGTGCCGCATTTCAGACCTTGGAAGATAATCATGTTCGTTTCTTGTTCCACATTGCTTTGCACTTGATATTTGCTTTTTACCATGGCAACTACCAAATGCTCAGTTTTATAAAGAAACGGAGTTTTGAAAAATGCTGCACAAAGGTTGGAAACTAGGCTATTATTGGGAACTAGTAGCTGGGGTGGCATCTGACAGGGACTGATGTTTCTTTCAAAATTTAAAGCATTCCAGGGTACTCCTGTGAGTACACTGTAGCACCAGGCAAGCCTTTTATGTATGCATATTCATTTTTATTGTCTATATTTTATACCACATGATGCTTTGGTATATACAGACATAGTGAAATGGTTTCCACGTCTCATATTTTTTAGTTGTTGTTAAAAACCTTAACAGTTTTTCCCATTTCTCCCCTGCTTACTCCCATTCCTCCCTCTCCCTTTTGTTTCTGTTTTGTGATGACAAAACCCTCTTGAAGCTTCATTCATGACTTGAATTCTCTAACTGTGACATTTCATAACGGATACTGAAATTTCAACCTGGAATGAAGTCAACATATGAAGTTGGTATATGTTTTAATTTGAAGTACATATGGAAATCTGGTATTTAGACACATTTTCCCAGGTGCTACGTTCTTACCAAAGAATTCTTTTCACTCTCAAATGGAGTGTTTTGTAGTTAGTGAAGAGGGGACAAGAAGAAAGGGAGGAAGGAGAAAGGAAAAAATACCTGACTCATTTCTTTAAAATGTTTATCATGTGCCATGTCCATTCTTGGAGCAAGACAATGCTGAAGGAAGAGCTGGGCCCCCCCAGAACCCAGACATCCACATAACCACCCTAGCTGCCTATCTGTTGACATAGACCAAGTTGAGGTCAAACACAGGCTCAGGGTGTGGGAAGATTTCACAACATAGGACCTTAGGTTTGGCGTCTGCGTTCAAATTCTGCTCGGTAGCTCCGAGGCTCCTGCGCAAGTTCATCTTGTGAGTCTGATTTTTTTCCTCCTTGAAAGGGAAACAATACCTATCCCAGAGTTGTTTCTTCAGGACTCAGTAGCATCTGTACAGTGTATATACACACCTAGTGCTTTAAAGCTAGTTAATGGCTCTTATTATTAAAATAGCCAGCGGAGACAGTCTGCTGAAGAATAAAAAAGGTACAGAGAGAAAAGAGCGAGGAGAATGGCAGAGTCCACGTCAGCAGCTGGCAGGATGTGGACCGGCACCACCACTTCAGACAGCCACACGGCAGTGGCTGCTAACCAGAGTACGTGCACATGCAGGGACCGAGCACTTCAGCGCCTAGACATATGCTCAGCACTCAGACACTGTGCTCCAAACATCCGCACAGCGGCGTGATGCACAATGGCAAAAAAAACCACTGGCCACAACTGAAAATGTAGAGTGAATAAATCCCAGGTGGTACTGCAGATCACAGAATAAATACTGCTCAACAGAGCGCATCAGGGAGCCACTGCAGTATACAACAGCACAGATGCGGCTCACGTAGCTGTTGAGCGAAGGCCGGCAGACTGAGATGGTGCACTTTGTGTGAGTCCATCTATACACACGCACGTCAATCTACAATGTTAGAGATAGGGCAGTGCTTCTGAGCGAGCAGAGCTAACGGCCAGGAAGGTACACGAGGAGCCCTCTGGCGCTGGCTAGAGTGTGTACTCACTTTTTAAAAATTCTTGTGATTTGTGTATGTTTTACTCTAATAGTGTAAGAAAAAGTTTGCCACCCCCCTTGCCAATTGGTTACCAACAGGGTGGCTGCCACTGGCTCTGCTCCAGGCCCTTCTTCTGGTGTTGGTTCTTTTCTGGACCAAAGAACAGAGACGAGCTGCAGCTTAACGGCAAGTCACGGTTGTGGTGGGGTGGGGACAGTCCTGGATACAGGAAACAGTCCTTGAATCATCTCTTATAAGCAAAAAAGGAAGGAAGGAGAGTGGAGCAGGGGAAAGCACAGAGCTGGGGGTCAGGGGAGTGAGAAAAATAAAGTAGAAAAACAAAACACTACACCTGTCTTCTGCTAGTTATAGGTCTAAAGCATTTCTTATGTCCCACACAGTGCGACTCTGGGCTTTACGTGCTATTTTGATCACCGCTAGTCTTTTGTTCAGTGAGCTCCACGCTGGGACCCACTGTTTATTAACAAAGAAGTAACATGCATAGAATTCAAGAACGGAAGTAGGTGGCGGGCGCCTACGATCTGGTATCACTCATCCTCATTCCTGCTGAGGTGCGCTGTGCTCCGACTGGACTGAGGGACACAGCAGAGCTTCCCACCTTACTTACGAGCTCCCCCTGAAGCACTCAGCAGGTTTAGTGGAACTGCACCAACCCTACCGTGTAAGCAGTGCAAGCATGCATATGTACTTTTTTTAAATTAACTGACTGATGTCGTACTTAAACTTTAATTTGTGCTCCTTAGATGACACATAGAAGAACAAAGGCAAGGGTTTCGAGGAAAATAATCATTGGTAACCACAAGGCACTTGATTTACTTGTGCCCATACAGTCTAAGTAACTTATTTAAATTCTGATAGACAAAGGATTTACTTATTACATCAATTCCTTTTATTGTGAAGGAATTTCACTTAGGAAAGATCAGTGTTGTCAGGTAGAAATAAAATGGTGATCTGGTTGATCAAAGACACCAGAAAAAGGGAAACAGTTTGCTCTTGATAAATCTAGCATTTCAAAGTTTGTGGGTGCTATAGAAGTGGGTGATTCCTCGTGTTTTGGAGAACACTGCCAGCGGTCCTTGAAGTGCTAGACTCTCCTGCACATTCCTAAAGGATTCAGGTTCCAAAAATAGGCTTCTGTGTAAACTTTTCAGGAACACATCTGCTGTGAAAAAGATGTTTGCAGCCCTGGAACGCCAAACAAAGCATAAAGCAGACACGCCTTAAAATATTTACAGAGGATCAAGAATTCTTCCACATGAGGAGAAGTTGACCAATACCATGGTAGCTGGGTTTGCACCTGAAGACTGGAGACTTTTAAAAAATGCAACCATTTGCATTGCTTGCTAAACATAAGCCAAAAGGAGTTCAGTTTGAAAGATGTGCTGTGGCAGTTGCAATTCAGTTTTAGGTCAGATAGCCAATGGGCTCAACGCAGTGTGAGATGGGTCAGCCTCATTACGAGCGGGCAGAAGAGGAGGCCACACAGCACGCACATGGTACGGCCCTTCCAGAACGGACGCGGTCACTTTCCTGCTCACTGAAGGTTTTAATTAGAAATGCAGTCTTCACAGATGCTTCGTTTCGTTGTGTGCTAATTATAGACCTTGGCAAAAAAGGCAAACAGAAGAGCAACGAGAGCTAGGCCCACGGCTGCCCTCCACGCACAGTCTTGAGGCAGCGCGGAGTCGCGCGGGGTTGCAGCATGGGAATGGGACATCAGATTCGGGTGGATCCCAAGCGTGTTTCTGAATTCCTAAAAGAGCGAAACAGAGTTAAAAATGGTTTTCTCATTCAGAGAGAGCCCTGATGCGATAGCAGTGAAATACGGCTCCTGAAAGGAGCCACCCTTTACTCACCCCTACGTAGGCTCCTTTACGCACCCGCCCTGGCTAAGGGGCCCCATGGTGGGTATGAATTTCAGCTCCTTTTCCAGGAGGGTCAGAACAAGTTCATGATTTTCCAGACCACACATGAGTATAGGGGATAGGCAGTGTTTATGGAGAATCAAGGCAAGATTTATGCAGGGGTACAGTCACATCACGAGTCTATCTAACTTTTAGGAATATAACCCTATCTCCTCAGCAACAAAGCAATCACTAAAACCAAAAACCCACAGCAGCCATTTCATTCTGCAAACACATCCCTTAGGACGGAATTCCCAGCTGCCGCAGGAGGGTGAGTTACCACTCACCCCACGCAGTTCCCACTGTTTACCGTGGTGTATCGTACAAGTAGTGTCATTTTCTCTGTCTGAAGACTGGAGACTTTTAAAAAATGCAACCATTTGCATTGCTTCCTCTCTCCCAGCTTGGAGAGAGTGCCAGGGCTTTGGGCCCGAGTGCATTGCTTTTGAGATGCTCTCTGTTCCAGGCTTCTTAGTGGGGAGAGGAGCACCTGGCTGCTCTCAGGTTGGTACTGGTGTTTCAGAGCATCAGCTGGCTCCATTTTATGAGACCTTCAGCTTATGCATGCCCTTTAGGATCAATGACCTCCCACACTGCGTGGGGTGCCCTGCTGAAACCTGAGGTTTTGAGAGACGGAGGAAAGGGTGGGTATGATGGCTAAGCTTGACCATGTCACCTTGAGTAGCTTGGAAGCCCCCCAGGGGATTGGTGGAGCACATTCCCAGTGTGTCCAGGTGGGTCATGGAAGCTGATCTTGGGTACTGTGTCTGGTGCTGGCATTGTTTCGCTACTCTGCTTCCTTGTCACCACGAACTAAGCCTCTGTGTTCTGTGATGTACTTCCGCCAACTGCCTTGCAGCCAGTTACCTATGGACTGAATCTCTTTAAAACATCAGCCAAGTGAAGCCTCTCCCCTTTAACTTATGGGTGTCGGTACTGTGTCTGGTGAGGGGAAAGCTGGCTAACTCAGCGGGGAAGGGGCAGGTGAGAAATACTGGAAGAAAAGCACAATGGGTTGGTGAACAGGGAGAGGCCCCAGAGGCGGTGAAGCACAGAGCCCCCTTCTGCAAGAAGCCCCACAGAAGCACAAAATGGTCTCGAACAACCCTTTTGCTTTGCCTGTTCTTCAAGCGCTCTAACAACCCCTGGTGCACCTCTGGCTTCTGCTGGGAGCTGTATCTTGTGCACGGCAGAAGCCCTCGATGGAGTTTAAGCAGGACTGTTGCAGGGGCGGCTAAGGGGAGCAGGGAAGAGAATCTGTGGTGGGATTTGGCAATCGATGAGGTAATGAGCTAATATAGGAGATAATAAGGACCTATATCAGGATGATGGTGCAAAGGAAGGACAGAATAATAGTTTTTTTTTTTAAATGTAGAAATCAATAGGATTTGAATTCTTATGGCAGGGTAATGAGAAGTACAAAGAACAGGAATTGGGGATATGAAAATAGTGTTCAGAGCCCAAGTCCACTGTCTAACACTTACATATGGTAGCTGTGGACACATTCCTGCTTTGACTGTGGGAGACTAATTGCAGAATTAATAAAGCTGTTGGCTATCAGAGTGAATCTCTCAACCCCAATGACATGGTCACACTATTATTTACTTCCGCACTCCTCAGGCTTCTGTGCACTGTGCCGCTGTTCTCCCTGTGCTCTGAGCCATACGGCTTGATGGAACACAGCGTCTTCCTTCCCCACAGCGGACAGCGGACAGCGGCCACGGCAGCTCAGAGGTGCACTGAGAGGTGCACCGGCCTCTAGGAGACAGCTCTTAGGAGGATGGTTGGGTGTAACTGCAGAGCTGGGAATATGCTGGCGGGTTTCCTCTTTGGTTAAAAATAGTCTCAAGAACAGCACTCATACATATATGGCAACTATGGGAAAGAAAGCCTTTCTGCTGAAATGATGGAAGGTGTGTGAGTTCCTCAAAAGCACCAGGTCTAAATGTGTCCAAGTCAGCCTCAAGCAGCCATCCTGCATGCAACCCTGCCGCGCTCTGGCTGAGGATCTGCTGCCAGGTAGGCGCTACCCTCAAAGCAGCAAAGAACACTATGGTAGCTGCCTCCCCCTGCATGGGGCCTGCTGTTGAGAGTGAGGAAACACTTGTGTCCGCACTGTTACCCTGCCTGCTGCCTACAAGGGAGTGATGAGGGGGCATGCAGCAACGCTAGACTATGTCACCCCACCCGAGGTACACACGGCTGGGGGGACTGAGAGCAACTTCAGCTGGCTTCAGCTGCATGCACACATGCTCACTACCAGGTGGGCAGGACAGCTGAAGGAAGAGGGGAAAAAGCCCTGCTCACTGCCGTGCCCATGGTGCACTCAGCTAAGGAGACTCAAGGGCAACTGTGCTGGACTCCAGCTGAGGTCCTGCTCCCAGCAGACACTACCACAGCAGAGCAGAGAGGAACAGCGTACTGCTACCAGCGTGGTCGGGAGAAATCCTGCCCCAGTCCAGAGTGCTTGACCTTGGTCCTATACCTCCCAATAGAAGCTACCATGTGACTCGTAGCGCATTCACAATTTGGCTGGGTTTGCAACACATCTACATGCAGCTCCACAAAGTTGTGGTCCAGGTAATACACCTGTGTTCCTGGTCTAGAAAAAACTCCTTTGACTTTTGGTGACAGTCTTAAAAAAACCTCTTCCTCTCTTCCTTCCAATGCATTTGCAATAAAATTTTGCTCAAAATACAGCTACCTGTTAACCTACCGGGGGGCTTATCTGCAGTTGCATTCAACATGGCCATTCTCTTTTTGGGGATCATTTTTTCTCTTTCCAACACTCAAACACTTAGCACATCGGATCATAAGTGATGCATAAATGGTATTTCAGTGTTGAGCCTCCCTCTGTTCTTAGTGGACAAATCTACATCCCAGAATCACATGGAAGAGCCAGAGTGTGCTTTATGTTGCCACAAGGAGCCCACTGCCCTGCCACTCCCGAAGATCAAGGTGGGAATGTGATAATAGGTGTGAAGGAAATGTAGCCATCTGTCATACTGTGCTGTTTTATTATTTTCACCCTTTCTCAAACCAAGACCATGATTTTGATGATACTGTTTTTAAATAGGTTTCTCAAATGACAGTTGTAAGTAGCCAGCTAGCTTTGTACATTTCAATTGTCACTACCACTACGACACTAAAGGAAAAGTAATTTAGAAATGCAGGAGATACTAGGTCTTTCGTGCAGTCCCAGGCGCTCAAACATGGAAATGTTTGACCACAGCAGAGTTCCACACAGGTAGAAGGCGAGTTCATGAACAGAATATAGACTTTCTATGATACAATGAAAAGTACTTGTAGGTGAACATAAATAGCGAAAAGAAAGATGAAAGTTGACCTAAATAACACATACAGAGCAATGGTGATAGCTGACTTTAGAGAAAGACTTACTATGGCCAATCGTCTCAGACAGCAAACAGCCCCCAAGCTTCCCTAGACATTTTAAACACTGTCAATAGGTTACTGAGATAAAGTTTTAAACACTTTCTTCAAAACAGAAATTTGAAACAAGGCAGTCTTGCCTTTGTTCAATTTAAACTGTGCATGCATTTATTCGGTGAACAGAATAACGGAGGCACTGAGAACTCTTTTGGACACCCTGTCAGCCTGCATTAACACGGGCTTCTCCTCTCTTGTAAATCTCACTCTGCAATTTATTTCCAAACCTACTTACATACTCTTAAACATACCCTAAGGTAAGTGTAGTAGTGCATGCCCTTAATCCCAGCACTTGGGAGGCTGAGGCAGGAGGACTGGTGCAAGTTTGAGGCCAGCCTGGGCTATCCAGTGAGACTATGTCTCAAAAACAAACCAACTGCCACCCCCAAACGCTAATTTTCTATAGTATATAGCTCGGTGATGGCAAACCCTTTAGCGTTTTCAATGATACAAATGGCACACGTGCCATCAGTTCACCACCACTGGTCTAGCCTGTCAAATCCTAGCAAAGTAATAAAATTGTTAAAGCAGAATATATATATATATATCTCAATCAAGAAAACTGTCCAATTCAGAAACTTTCAAGGATTATAAGTTGGTCAGTTAGAGATAGAGGCAGTGGGGGCTGAAGGTGTGGCTCAGCAGCACAGTGCTTGCTTAGCAAGTGGAAGGCCCTGGGTTCAATCCCGGGCACTACACCCACGCATGCATGGTAAAGGCAGTTGGGATGGTAACAGTATTTTGTCTCTTTTCTCCTCTCGTAGTTATACTTGTGTTGATAGGAACAGGAAAGAGATGTCTTTAAGTTGAGTCATTTCATGCCATGGGGCACAAATGGGACTGGCTTTAAAAGCTGTTAGGTGCTTGGGATCAGATATCCCAGCTCCATCTGAGGATTCACAGGCAAATCATTTCATCCTCACTTTGCCTCCCTTTCCTCACTTATACAATGAGATACTGGTAGTTTTTTTGTATCATAGCATTGTTATAATGATGAAATGTTACAAAGTATCCTGAATGCTTAAAACTCAATGGATTCCATGGTAGTTTGTGGTCCTAATGGAACATGCAAATAGCCTCGGGTATTCTTGTTGTAAAATTACAAAAAATCACTATTTGCCACTCAAAAATGGTTAACCTACCCATAGTATTTCTGTTGCTTACACACAGCATTAGGAAGCACCAGTGTAATAGGTGAGCACAAGTCTTACATTCGGACAGACCAAAAACTGAATCCAAGTTCAGACAGCCAGGTGATCCTGGCCAGGTGGCACAAGCTGTCTACGCCTAGTGACCTCTGTGATGCAGGAATACCAGTTACATGTTGTCCAAACAGAAACAGTGTGCTCAGAGCCCTGACAGGGTGCCTGCAATACAGAAAGTTTCTGAGGGGCTGGGGATT